TATATATATGGAAAAAATATATATGTATATGTAAACAAAAAGAATGAAAAATATCTTTTCAATAATTTTATATTTCATTGATAGATTAATTAGAATATATTTAGGTCAATGGAATAATAAATGGAATAGGTAAAAGAAATGAACTAAAAACATTCCTCCTTTTTTATACTGTTGAAATTTTATAATTTGTATCGATTTCATCCGAAGTTTTAATTTATGATATTGTCGAAAATGTGAGAATTGCCTCACTAAAAGAATCACTTAAATATCATTGTGTACGTTTATTACTATATCATACCATCTAGCCTTAATGAATTGTAGTAGCTTTATTAATTTATTTTTTACAAACTTCGCTCAAGAAAATTTTCTGTCACAATTTGAATTCTTACAAACTATGCAACTCTTTATTGTTATTTGAATTGTAATTTTCTACTATTATTTATAAGTTAATAATTATGCATTCTGCTATGTTTTCATATAAAAACTATGTAAAAATTCCTATCGTTTTTTTGCACCTTAAAAATTATATGAATATTCTTATGTTCTTCGATTTGCGAAGTTTAAAGATAATTGCTTTAAGAATCGCCCAGAAATTACAGAACTTCTGCTAGATTGTAAATACGATTCTGTTGACCTTTTAACCAAATAGATTGGCATATTACACATGCATGCGAATATAATATTTGTTATTCTGAAAGGCAATGATTCGAAAATGGAATCATGATATTTAAATGTCCAATAGACAAACTTCACTGATTATACCTTTTAGGGAATATTTTTCATCTGAAAGGGAATAATTTGAAGATGGATGGAATCTTGATATCAAGATGTTCAACAAGCAAGCTTCACTGATTATATCTTTTAGGGAATAATTGTTCATCTGAAAAGGAATGATTCGAAAATGGAATCTTAATATCAAGATGTTAACAAATACTGATAGAGAATATAAAGAAAAATGAATTTGATTAAAAATAGCAGAAGTTGAAAATTGCTTATTTGGAGAAGTATCTCTACCACAGATATATTCAGATATTATCGAGTAATTTTAGAAGTTAAAAATTATAAGTGATCATATCATTGCAATTTAAAAAAGTTAAAAACTATGGATGAATTATATTATCAATGGCCAACTTTCTGAATCGGCTAACTTCTTGTAATGATCAATTCCATGCATTAAACTGCTTAATTTCAAAATGAGAAATATTACTACGGAAATATTTAAAGGAAATCGAAATTCTTTGATCTGTAAAATAAATATTCAATTGAATACCTCACGTCGGTTTTCTCAGGAAGGAATCTTCTACCTCAAAAGAATCTTCTTCTGATGCTCGTAATTTGAAGCTACCGTTGTATCGCAGATTTCTTCTGAGCTTTTACGCAATATATTTTATTTTCATTTCTTGTTTGATATTCCCGCCATTTATACCAAAATTTTTCCCTGAAATTTTGATTGACCTGAAATCTATTGTCATCCGTTTTCTATCGCAAATTATACTACTCAATTTCGTCCTCTATGAGATCGATGCCTCTTCTGACCTTTTTTGGCACTTATACAAATCCTTTATTGATTGCCTCAAATTGCCTTCTGTCTTCATTAGATTAATTTTTAAGCCATCAATTAGTTCTTTCCCATCTCTTCATTGACATCCCCGCCACCTCAAAGAAAAGCTTTCCCTAAAATTTTGATTGTGTTTTCATAAGCCTTCCCCAAATTGTTTCCATTAGGTCCTCAATATAATCACGTATGTGATATTTCTCTCTGCTTCTCTTCCTCTTCCCTTATATACTGTAAATCTTCTAGCTTGTCATCATTCGACCTCTCTGTATGTAAAGGAAACATTTCTGCTTCCTCAATCATTCCCCTTTTTTTTAGGGTTACTGCTGACGTTGCTCTCTCTCTTTCTCTCTTCTCTTCTGATCAAATCATTATTGTTTCCGGACTTTCCGGTATATTACCATCAAATAATACGGCTAATTTATTCCGTATTTCTTCCCATACAGTACATCCTATCATATCTTATTAGTAACAGAAAGCCTTTTTACTAGGCCTTCAATTTTCTTCCATTTTTTTTTACAATATATTTTCTTTGGCCTAATAATCTTTCCTTCGATCCAATCAAATGAAAAGCCTTCCGTGAAATTTTGTTTGCTTCGAATTCTTTCTGTTTTCTTCTGATTAAAAATAATCCTTTTTATTAGGCCTTCATTTCCTTCAGTTAGATTCTTTGCCTCTCCTTGCTATCATTTAAATTTAACAATATACAATCATTAATTACTATCACTATTACAAACAATTTAATTAAAGGTGATATTGATCAAATTAAAGTGATATTGATCAATTAAAGATGAATTGAAATTTTTAACCCTGAAATAGCAAATATTTATTATGCAAACATTTTAAAAGAATTCGAAATTCTTCAATGTGTAAAATGCTCAACGGAATGTTTCGTACTTTTTCGACTTTTTATCTTCTTACCTTCTTACCTCTTCTTACGTTAGAATTCGAAATTATCATATCGCAATTAATTACCTTTTCTTATCTCTTCTTACTTTGTATCTTACCTTGTAATCTTCTTGCTTTAGAATTCGAAATTATTATATCGCAATTAGTTACCTTTTCTTACCTCTTCTTACTTTGTATCTTACCTTGTAATCTTCTTACCTTATGATTCGAAACCATCATATCGCAATTAATTATGCGATCGACATCTCCTATCCTTCTATGCATTACTTTTTATTCTATGTTCCAGCCGAAAACTTTTGATCACATCTTCAATTTCTTCCATCTCTTCCCTCATATCTCCATTATTCATATGATTGTTTTCCCTTAACTTACAAATAGTATTTGCATTAAATTTAGGCCTTCAATCCCTTCAATGAAATGCCTTTCTACGTTGATCACTTTGTATACTGTAGATCTCGTAGATTCTCATCTTTCAATTTTTCTCTATATAAACGAAATATTTCTGCTGCAATTATTCATTCTGTTCTTTGCATTTATTTTCATGTTTCATATTTAAGAATTATTTTCTATCTATTCGATTTTTCACATCGTAATCTTTTTACGAAGTTTCTTCACTATATCGCTACCAATCATTCGATGGCGAGTTTCTCCCGAGATTCTGATGGCGCAGTACATTCTATCCTATTTTACTTTGTGCTGTTTTCTATAAGCTTCTGTTAGTCAATAAGAAAAAGTAGAAGCGTTATATGCTAAAGTTTCATTTCACAGAATTGATGCGCCGTAATGTTTGTTTATTCACAGAATATTTCTCATCGATACGATTTCGTAAATTCGTGCAAAATGTTATCAAATATATTGTGAGTCTTATAAAGCATCAAATTAAATGTTATTGTACTGTAATTTGGCATACGAAATGCTTTCAATCTGTATTATTATTATTGAACGTGTATATATATATTGCCATTAATTATTCAACATTTTAGATTTATCATTACAAAGGCCTACGAAGCGTGTTTTAGTTGTTCTTTTGCTGTTTCACTTCTTCTAAATTATCTTAGGATTCTGTTCGATTATTTTCATCGATCATGGATGGTGAAAGTATTTACAATCTTAAATGTATGTTTTCATTTTTCATACCTTTAAATGTTTTCATATTTTCATTTTTTTTTAATTTGAAAAATTTCTCAAATTTCAGCCCTTTTGTATGGTTTCACATCGATTACTGTAATATCGCTGTTATCCCTAACTGGCCTTGTGTTTTTACCTGCTATCGAAGGCAAATGGCGAAGGAGATGGATGCAAATATTTATTGCTTTAGGTGTCGCAACATTAAGCTCAGATGCTTTGCTTCATATTTTACCACAGGTATTTCTTCCTGTTTCATTCGTTATCATTACTAGTGGTGAGGTCGATTTCTGACTGCTAATTTTTGATCATAAATTATCAGTGCTCTATGAATAATTCACAACAGATTATGGTTCAGGTAGGAACATAAATGTTCTGTAAGTGATTGGAATATAAGCATCTCAATATTTAGCTAACAATTTTATTGTAAAACAGTTGCAATTAAATTTATTTTCTAATGAACTTGAAGTTACCGGTAATATCTGAATTAAAACATTAAGGTTGTCGGTGTGCATGATCATTTGCACCACGGCCACGAGCATCAGCATCATCATCATCACAATCATCTTCAAATAGAACACAGTCATTCGGATCATCATCATCATCATCATCATCACGAAATTGAACCAAATCATTCGGATCATCATCACGAAGTTGAACATAATCATTCGGATCACCATCATCATCATCATCATCATCATCATCATCACGAAATGGAACACAACCATTCGGATCACCATCATCATCATCATCACCACGAAATGGAACACAACCATTCGGATCATCATCATCACGAAATGGAACACAAGCATCTTGATCACGACCATCATCATCATCATCATCATGAAATGGAACACAACCATTCGGATCATCATCCCGAAATGGAACACAATCATCTTGGTCACGACCATCATCATGAAATGGAACACAACCATTCGGATCATCATCATCATCACGGAATGAAACACAATCATCTTGATCACGACCATCATCATCATCATCGTCACGAAATGGAACATAATCATTCGGATCATCATCATCACGAAATGGAACATAATCATTTTGATCATCACCATCATCATCATCATCATGAAATGGAACATAATCATTTTGATCATCACAATAACCATCATCATCACTACCATGATAAGGTTACGTTCTAAGCTTTTAGAATTGCTATTGAACTAGGTCTATTAATGTGGTATTAAAACTTCTTTCACTGTTTGGATAAATTTTACTTCAGTGATAATGCTATAATAGTCTTTGTAAATATTTAGTTCTTTCTATAGAATGGTTGATGTATTGCATCATTTATAGAAATTTGAAGATGGAAAATTCACCTCCGATGATCATTCAATGTTACTTAAAATGACAGCTGTAATTGGAGCTGTTTATGTCCTCTACATATTAGAATTCATCAGTGCTTCACCCATTTGGAAAGAAAAAAATGTAAGCGAAATATATATATATATATGTATACAAATTTTTTCCCTGCAAAAGTTGCAGAATTTGAAGCTGTTGAATTTCATTTCAGGAAGCTACAGGAGCTGTCAAAATCTCCGCTTTACCGCTTAAAACTTTACCGGATTGCGAAACGTAAGTTAAAAGAAATAATTACTCGCCATAATTTTGAAAACAAAAATTAATGTGCCTAACAGTAAAAGTTCATAAACCAAATCATAGTTGGTTGTAAATAATGGCATTGTTATTAAAGAACTTCGCAAGCTTCATACATAACCACAGGGCCAATTAAAGACGATTCTTCATTATCGAGATATTTATGAAATTTCTAATTTCATTTATCACAATTCAAATGATTTTTAAATTTCAAATATTTTTTCATCTTTTTTAAACATTCAAGCGCAATCAGTTTTAAAATATATGTCTGAATTTAATTTACTTCATCTTAATTTTAAAGCATTTTTGTAATAAGTAAAAAAAACTAAATAACAAACATTAAAGTGAAAGCAAGAAGAGCATTGATAAGGGTCATCATGATGTCGGTAATGGTATTGCCGATGAACCAATAGTAATGTGCGGTCTTAAAAGTGCCGCATTCGTGATCATTTTTGGTGATGCGATTCATAATTTCATCGATGGAATTGCTATTGGTGCAAGTTTCTCTATCTCAAATCAATTTGGTGTAGCGACAAGCATTGCTGTTGCATGTCACGAATTACCACATGAATTAGGTTTCAACTTTACCTTGTTCAAATTTCTGAATTCTTGATATTTAAAATTTATTATATCCAAACATTTCGGGTTTATTATTTTTTTTGTTTTAATCAAGTAATTTTTAAAATTATTTCATTAAATTTAGGTGATTTCGCAGTCTTAATCGAATCTGGCCTTTCTGTTCGTCGAGCCGCCTTCCTGAATTTTCTTTCTTCTTTAACTGCTTATGCGGGCTTATTTATTGGCTTAGCCGCGATTAGTGTGGACAGCGCTGTCGAGATATTGCTTGCCATCACAGCTGGAATGTTTTTGTACGTTGCTTGGCTTGATATGGTATGTTAAGTTTTTTGTCCTAGTAATTTGTCAATATTAATTAAATAAGATTGTCTTACGGTGCTTTTTTTGGGAAAGCGTTCAAATTTTCAGAACGTCAATTTTACATCGTAACCGGATTAGGGAAAAAGCGAAAATTTGACTTAATTTAATTTAACATAGATGGATTTATTGATTTATCAAGTTTGAGTTGATTTTGAAACTTTACTTTTAAATAAGAATACTTGTGACTTCTTTTTTTATAGTTGGTACATTTGAAAAAGGAGCCAGCATCGACGAACGACAAATGGTATATAACGCTGTTGCTTCAGAATATCGGATTTATCACCGGATTTTTGATTATGTTTACTATTGGGTGGTATGAGGAAGTCCTTGAGTCACTTTAGGTGCTGACATTTCTAACAATCTTTTTCTTCTATTTTTGCTTCAGTTGAACTTCACATTAATGAAAACGAATGATTCTTTAGAATTTAAAATTTTCTTACGGGATTTTTATTTCTTTTCTGAAAATCATAATTGTCATGATCGTAATTGAAATATACATTTTTTTTTAGAATCACTTAAATATTGTTATACGTTTATTCTTATATCGGCTAACCTTATTGGATCATTATAGCTTTATTTGCTTTTATATTTTGTTTAAGAAGTTTACTATCATTATTCGCATTCTTAAAAGTTATGTAAGTCTTCAATGCTTTTTGAATCGTAGAAACAATGTATGCATCTTCGTTGTTTGCACCGTAATTGTTGTGCATTTACTCCATCTTTACCGTCATACGAACAATGCATGTGTTTATCGTTATTTTAATTGTAAGAACAATATTATAATCCTATCGTTATTTGTATCGTAATTGCTGTGCAAGTTTCCGTTTTTATTTACATCATTACTATCATTAAATTTTTACTTTCTTTATCGTCGTAAAAATGATATGAATTTCTACTGTTGTTTTGTGTGGGTGTTAACTGGGCAGCTTTTTATTTCACTTTCACTATATAAATCACACAATCTTATCTCCTTGTTTTGCTTAATAAAGACTGTGCAAGTTTCTATCCTTATTTGTATCGTAAAACTTCCATATGCCGATTTCCTTCGTTGTTTACATCATGAAAACTTTTTTCATATTGTTATTTGCATCAAAATAATTATGCAATCTTTCTATGTAAAAATAATTAGTAATAAATAATAATAGTTGCCACTACACAAATCTCTGTTGTTATTTACATCATAACAGTTATGTAGATTTCCATCCATTCATACTATAGCAATTAAATTAGAGAATTTCTTATAAGCACAAATTAAGGAATCAACTCCAATCTTTGGTTTTTATAATATTACAAATTTTGTTCAATGAAATTTTTATTTCGTCAGTTTCATGATAACAATACTATTGAAACTGAATGGTAGATTGTAAAGTTGGTACTATCCGCTTATGCAAATTTAATTTACAACACCGATTTAATTTAATTTGTATATCATTCATACAAAAAAAAGATTACATGAGTTCATCATCGGTATATATTGTTTCATTACTTGAAACATGTTTTAACTCTATATTAGGCATATCACCAGTTATCTGAAATAGAACTTCCATTTTGACGTGTAGTTTCTTTTGTTGTTACCAGTTTAAATTGTTTATTGAAAAATGTGATTGTGTAATAAGCACACTTGACAGATTGTATTTTTTGGAAAATAAAATAGGATAGAATGAATTTGATTGGGAATAGATTAATAGAAGTTGAAAATGATTTGCCTGAACGAAGAATTCCCGTAATGATGAATTCAGATATCATTCAGGAATTCGATTTTATAAAATAAATATAAATCGACTATTTTCGGGAAATTTCCTGTTTTAAAAAAACTGATACAAATTTCATTATTTAGTAGCTTACTTCACGTAAGGTATTATCAGGTGATAGAGCATGATCATGTGCAGCTTTGTGGTAATGATTATTTACCTGCGGTGATTTTGATTCTAAAAAAATATATCACTAAAATTTCACACTATATATCAATGCCACATATAAATGACTATATCATTGCAATTAAAAAATTTTATAAAAATTAAAACTTTCGAATGACCATAATTTAGAAACTATAAGTTATAAATTTTACCAACTTCCTGTATTAAATTCCTTAATGACGAAGTGACAGGTATCTTTAAATTGTTTAATTACGAAATAACAAATATCTTCAACTTCCCGTATTCAACTGCTTAATTACAAAATGACAGGTGTCACCGTACTAATTAATTACTCTTACCCTTTAATTCATTCCACTCCATTTGACGAATACATCGATGAGATTGTTTTGTTTTCGCTTTCTTAGCTGATTCATTTATAAGTTCGTTTTTGCTAAATTTCCTACTAAGTTATATTTTTAGTGCTAAGTAGAACCCGCTGATAGATGGGAACAATAAATATGTAAATAAAAAAAGAATGATAGGAAGAAAGAATTAATTAAGTTGAAAAGGTTTTAAAACAATTAAAGCGAGAATTTTCAATTTTCACTCTAATAAAATTATCTTCAATTTTGATAAATTTTAATAAAAATTAGTTTGTTTTTGAATTTTAATTACGAAATGTGAAATTACATATGTTTGTTTTAATTATGAAATATGAAATTATATACTAGTTTGTTTTAATTATGAAATATGGAATTATATATTAGTTTGTTTTAATTACGAAATGTGAAATTATATATTAGTTTGTTTTAATTATGAAATGTGAAATTATATATTAGTTTGTTTTAATTACGAAATGTGAAATTATATATTAGTTTGTTTTAATTATGAAATATGAAATTATATATTAGTTTGTTTTAATTATGAAATATGGAATTATATATTAGTTTGTTTTAATTATGAAATATGGAATTATATATTAGTTTGTTTTAATTATGAAATACGAAATTATATATAAATTAAAATTAAAGTATTTGTAAATTTCACTTTTAAATAACTTACATTTCTCTCTCCACACTTTTGCCACCTTTTCCCTTACCTTTATGATGCTTTCCCTTACTTTTGTAATACTTCTCCTTCTTTTTTTTACCGTTTTTTCTTTTCTCACGATACTTTTTCCGACTTTTAATTGTTTCCTATTAATTAAAACATTAGAACAATATATTTTTAATTGTACATTTAAATTTTAATAGCGAATTTTTGAACAAATAAATGAGTGTAAGCAATAAAGATTAAAAAAAAATGCATCGTATTTATCTCTATTGTTTTTCAAATAACAGAAAATTATATAAATAACAAATACAACAGTATCGCAAATACAATCTTATCAGTTATTTTTAGGATAGTATCCCCCTACTAATGAGTGATAATTATATCTGCCAGCTAAACTTCATCATAAATTTTTCTGATAATACTAATTCAATTGGACAATAACAAGCCGATATAACGAAAAATTAAAAGATGATTAAAATAAGCCCGATAATCATATCTGCCAGCTAAACTTCATCATAAAATTTTCTGATAATAATGATTCAATTAAACAATAACAAGCCGATACAACGAAACAATTAAAAGGTAACTAAAATAAGCTGATACAACGAAAAATTAAAATATGACAAATATTTTCAACAATTTAACTTCTAATCAAATTTACCGAATGTTGCCATATTCTACCAAAACACATATATAATAACTAAACAATAGCTTCGTTTAATTTTCTCTTTCTTAATAATAAAAATATAAACAATGAAGAATTATGCGATCGATCCGATCATTTATATACTTTTTTTTCTATCTCTTTTTATGCAAAATATAGTGAACTTTTCAATAATTTTATGTAAATTAAATTAGAGTATAGATAGAAATAAATTATAATATAAATAAATTATAGGTATGATATTAACAAATTATGATGATAAGTTATCATTAATGATAACGTGAAGAAATAATTAATTATTTAGAATTATTAAAAGATATTTTACTTCATCGTAAAATAACGAAATATTATTAACACTAAATAATTGTATTTATAAACAATATTTCCTATTAGTTTTAAGCAGTAAACAAACTATGGCGATAAGTTTTTTTTGTTATTATTAATAAACTATGATAATAAATTATAATTATTTGTTAAACAATAATCGCAAAAGAAGATTTCATATTAATTATCTATCGTAAGTAATTATAGAAAATTTGAATTGATCAAACAAATGATTATAGAAGAGATTTGATTAGATGATTTTAAGGGATTTTTTAATTAATTATATTTACGAAAGAAGTTATAACTTTTTTTTATCATTTCATTACTTTCTTTGTTAAATATAATCAAATGATTTGTCATCAATTTCATCAGTGAAGAATTTATTGTTAGAAACAATTGAAAAGAAAAAAAAGAAGTGATTAATTAAAAGATACTAATCATTAAAACGATAGCTAATAGAAATCAAAAGGTACTAATCATTAAAACAATAGCTAATAGATTTTAAAAGAATATCATGTTTGTGTTATTGTTGCACAAAATGAATTGGTTTTTTAATTTCAGGAAAATCACAACTTATGCAAAAGAATGGATAGAATTATTTAAAACAAACTTTTTCCTAATTTGCTTTATGCATGCTTTATTATAACTTAACATAAAGGAGAAACTATAGATGGATAACAGATAATCATCCTAAATGATATGGAACAAATTTTTCGAAAAAGAAAAACTGCAAATGACTATATCTTCATATCTATATCAACGGTTCGTTAAGCATAATGAAGAAAAAACAAAAATGAAAGTGAGAAATTTAAAAGGAAAAAATTCAAAATTAACGATTGAGATTTTGAAATCGTAGGAAAGATCATATTGGTGTGATAATATGGTCGAAATTATCATGAAGAGTTCTGATGATAACTTCGAACATATACGAAAATATTTAAGAAATTATCTCGAACAAAAATTTCGTCTGGATTGATAAACTGGTATACGGGAATGATAAGTCGATAAGGTCAATGTGATAGTACTGGGATGGTTATCCAGGGAATTAGTTAGCGTCAAAAAGAATTACATAGCAAATAATTCAGAGAATTAAAAAGACTATCGACTGAAACCACATTTAATTATGGAAAACTATATCAATGGACTATATCAGTCAGGTAATAAATTACTACAAAATTTTATATACTGATAGCAAAAAAAAATTGTTGAATATTCATAGGAAACATTTTCACTTTTTGATTTCACTCAATGGCATGCGTTCACTATGGTTCTGATCAATCTTAATCAGAGGCTTAGGAGGTCTATAAGCCATATCTTCCTCTCCAGGCATTCGATCAGGCATCGGTTTTCCTTTGGTTTCGGGAATAATCCATAAAAATGCAGTTACTTCAACCAAGGCAAAAAGACACATCGCAAGATAGGGAAGTGGAGTCCAGAATTCACCCTGAAATTGCAAACTTTATTTAAAATAATGTGATTATCATGTTATCTAGTTAATTTGCTACAATCTTCTTCTTCAAGGTAAATAATAGAGCTTCTTCCTTATCACTTGCTATCATTATCATGCCATATTTACTATAGTTAAAACTGTAATATTTTCTAGAAAAAAGTGATAAAATGAAAAACATTTCAACTTTTTTGCTAAAGAATTTAAAATCATTTGAAAGCAAAAATTATGCATACAATAAGAAATATCTGTGGTGCAATGATATTGCCAATACGATTAAATGTTTGGATAAAGCCAATTTCTTTATTGCGTATAGCTGTTGGAAAGAGTTCCGAGGGTGTAACTGCATTCAGGATATAAATTTGACTGCACATTGCTGCTGCCGACAAAGCCGTAATACGGACGATCATTTGTAAATTTAAACCTGAAATTTCATTCGCAAATAACATTTGATTTGTATCACAAAAATTTTGTAATGAAAAACATTCACTAATCGAGGATATAAATTATTTGTAATAATGAAAAGTTGCTCGGAGATCTTATCTGCTATGAAAATATTATCATGAATTAGAAAATAATAGACATACCGAATAGAGTGATAAAAAATACTAAGCCAAGACTGAAAGCGATGAAAAACATCGAAAATCCATGCAGAAGACATCGACCGGCCCAGATAAATTTGATGTCGATAGCGGCGCAAATTAGATTGATCGCATAGCGCAATGAACCAACAATAATCGTATTCAAATATATAGAACCCGAAAGTTTTTCCATATTAAAGACCAATCCATATGAGATGATGCTTGTAATCATCCTGGAAATCAAACTTGACATTTTTGCATTCCTTGCAATTGATCAATTGATGAATTAGGAATATTTTCCTATTTCATAAACTGTATTGGATTTATATTGATTAATGTGGTTTGAAAATATTCCTAATCCATCAGTGAAGGAAGAGGAGTAGAGTAATGAAGGAGTAGCAAAATCAATCATGAAAATTCAAACCACATTAATCAATATAAATAGATTCATAATGTCATACACTGTTTATTTTAATCGTTAAATAGATTGACATTGATGATTATGAAGAATATAAGTGATAAAAGGAAAATTATCTAACAGTTAATAAAAAGTTCTTCATAATCTCTAGTAAGGAAATATTGTAGTTTCATTATTTCCAACGTAAAATAAAATCTTATGTAGCATATTTTGTTTTTGAAGTTTAAAAAGCAAAGTTCTGATACAACGTACAAACTATAAGCAAAGAAGATGGTATATGAAGCGAAACTTCTGTTTGAGAATAGATGGCAATATGTGTAATTCGTTTTTGGCTTTCCAGCTGCCTAAAATTGAAATTAATTTTTTGCTTTTTAAATTTCTACCGGTAAAATTGCGCTTTAGTTTAAAACTTTTAGTTCTCGTCAAGAGAAAAATTTTTAATTTTAAACAGATAGGAAAAGATAGCTTTATACCTCTCTCAAATGTTCACGTTCTTTGTCCAGCAAAAGATCTAACTCTTGTAGGCGTTCTGGAGTATTTTTGTTATCCCATCTACCCATACCAACAAGTGCCTGACGAGCATCATCAATTTTCCCTTTCTGGATCAACCATCGTGGGCTTTCATAAGCAAATCTCAAACAATAAAGAGTTCAATAACAATAAAAATTACTGACAGTAAAAACAACTAGTAATGGTAATAACCAGTAATAATAATAATAATCAATAATTAATAAATAAAAATAACAATTAACAATAATAATATGCTAACGATTATAATTATTATTAATATTAATTAGTAATAGTTATTATTAATATTATATAAATAGTAATAATTATTAATGTCATATAACAGTGATAATTATTATTAATATAATAATAACGATTATTAATAATAATAATATTAGTAATATATTAATAATAATGATAATGGGAATAATAAATGATAATAAATAATGAAAATAATAAATGATAATAAATGAAATAATAAATAAAAATAATAATATGAGATAATGATAATAATGAATGATAAAATGATAAATGACAATAATAAATGATAAATCATAATAATAGATGATAAATGATAAATGACAATTAATAATTAATAAACAATGAGTGATAAATAATAAACAATAAACAATAATGATAATAGAGAACATAAGTAATGGTAATAAGAAAAATTAGTCAAATGAGAAGGTGAATGAATTGTATTAAGTCTAGATAGTTCCATGAATCTTATTTTTTATCTGTATTCATTGAAATCTTGATTTTTAAAGGACTAACTTACACTAATAGAATACCCGGAAGAATCGTCAAAAGAGCAACGACTCGTGATAGTAAACGCCATTCGCCAGTGAAATAAGCCAAACCGGTAAAGATGATGTAGTTCGGAGAATAAGTAATAACCGTAACCATCCACATACGATGTTTGGCAGGTAAATTTTCCATCATGAATACATAAGAAACGCTGCAAAAAAATTATCTTTTGTAGCTGTCTCGAATCTTTTCCGATGATTTAATTTATTTATATTTAGGATGCACGGCTTCAATAAGATTTGCTAAAAATTATCTAACACAACTACTTTCATCTCATTAATATTTTCATCTTTCTTTTTCATCTCTAATTAAAAAGCTTCCATTTCTCTTTTCTTTAATTTGTTCAACAAAACCTTTTTTATAATGTTCGATTTGAATATCTTAACAATAAAAAGAGTACAGCAATATACTGTATATATTCATTCAATTTAAAGATTTCATTATTCGATTTCCAATCATTATCGGTCAAAACTTTAATTTGACGTTTTGACCGATGGCTATAAAAAATTGAATTTCATATACTGTTGATTTTAGAGATATCAGAAAGTTTCAACTAACCCATGTTTTCCTCCTGTGAAGAACATCACGAAAAATCGCGCAATCGTGAAGCCAATCAAATTGTTCATGAATGATGATGCTAAACCGCTAACAATCAAGCCAATCGTACCATACAAAAGAATCTACAAATTAGCATATAATTATCAGTTGCATCCAAAATAACAAACTGTAAATTATCCTAAACAAAATTTTTTTTTTTAAATATTTCACACCGAAATATCCCATATCAATCCATCGAAGTCGTAAACAGTTTTTTGTCATATAATAATGGCTTTGGAAAATGTTGCAAAAGAAATATTATTAAAAAGAATCTTCTGTAGAGTAACAGTCCTTCCCTCACAAGAAACTAATCTCTCAGTTACAAGTGGATCAGTCAATGAAATAATACATCAAATAGATTTAATCAGAAAAACTAAAATTAATATTCAAATCACTATAATTATCGAGTATTTAAGTATCATAGTTCAGTTTCAGAATAAGATCATTTAATTATTCCGAATCTCAATCAGTCGTTAAAAAATCATTTCGTCCAAATATACCATTGATAGATTCATTGATTTTAATATGAAATAAAAATAACTCACCGCTCTCCGACCAAACATATCCGATAGCTGTCCAAATATCATCGCACCAAACATGATGCCAATCATTTGCAACGATATACTCATTTTAACCTTAGTTGCCGAATCGCAGAAATAATGAAACTGAAATGTTCAAATATTAACTACATTAAATGGAGGAAAAACCAAAAATATCGGAAATGGTATCTGGTATCATACTCCTTCCGATGTCGCAATTTGAGTATCGGCAAAAAATTGATAATTTCATCTGACTTTACAGTATTAGTTGATGAGAGAGCAAAACGGTATAAGCTAATGAAATTATTTAGATGTCTAATTTTATATTCAGTTCTTCTTAGATTATTATTTCTTCTCAACTTGACACCCACTTTACTACTTTTGATCCATTATTGTTCTCAAAAACTACAAAATCTTCACAAAACGTAGGATAATGCGCTTAATAATTATCATTATTTTATTCCTACTATTACTTACTTCATAAGCGACTGATTCGAAATCTGTCCCTAAGATCAGGTCTGAACATTCTCCTGTTGAATTCACATAACTATTGTACTTCGCACATTGCTGTTTTGATGTCATACCGGTAAACTTATGACCATCACATTCTTCTACACGAACTGCAGCACCTGGAAAGTTAAATTTTAAAATGGTAATCATATTCATATAACAACTACTTGTTCCGAAAATTGGAACCAAAAACTTCAAGTAAAATTACATTCTTTTCTCTCTTAAAAGTAATCCTAGAATTGACGAATTTAAAATCAACAATATTTATTATATGAATATGAAATAAAGAATATATCACTTTTTCTAGGGAATAATTGGCAAAAAAATTCCTGCTATTCTTTAAATATTAAAATAACTATATCCTACTGATAAATTAATATTATTCTTTAAATATTAAAACAACTATATCCTACTGATAAATTAATATTATTCTTTAAATATTAAAACAACTATATCCTACTGATAATTTTAAATTAATACTGATTTCAACATCAAAAGTGAAATAAGAAATGTTTGTATACACTGATAGTATACATAGTATACAATAGTATACAATACGGTTATGGTACTTGTCTATAAAATTTCTAATCATTCAAAACAATGATATGATAAACAATCAAATATATCTATATATTTGATTGTTTATTAATTTATCTATCAGCTAAAGCAGTTTAATAAGTTATATGCTAAACTTATTAAACTAAATGAAAAATAATTTACAACTTTGGTATATTTCTTCCTAAGATTTACAAATACAGACAAATTCATTAGTACTATCTTCCTTTCTTGAATAAACAATCATCATTAATTTCATAAATTTAAAAAAAGTATTAAAAGAAATCTGATATTTTGATCAAACAAAAAGATTGCGATCAAATTGCAAAATCGTTAAATGATGAAATTTTGCCATCATATAATAAAATGATTGAGATGTAAAGATAACAAATTTCAACATAATACATCGATTTGATTGATTGATAGAAGGAATGATAGAAACAATAATACGTATCCAAGCATCTGTTCAGTTGAACGTAAGGAAATTATTAAAAAATAATCTTTCGAAATAAGTGAAAATAATTACTCAATAACCTATCTCTAAAACTATAATATCTAAAACTATATCTCTAAAAATAATATATCTCTAAAACTATAATAACCTATCTTCCTAAAACTATAACAATAACCTATCTCTAAAACTATAATAATAATAATAATTTATCTCTAAAACTATAATAATAACCTATCTCTAAAACTATAATAAACCTATCTTTCTAAAACTATAATAATAACCTATCTTTAAAACTAAAAAAATCAATAATCTATCTCCAAAACTAAAAAAATCAATAATCTATCTCTAAAACTATAATTTTTCTGAATGAAAAAGAAAACCAAAAAGAATTCCTGTAATGTACCAAAAAACAATAAATAAGAAACACAAACAACTATTTCAATTTCAGAATGCAATACAAATGATTGCTGCTACACATATTGGTAATTAATGAAAATTTTATTTTGCAAAAATTTCTAATAAAAAAAATTAATTAAAATAAAACAAAAATAAACCTCCATAAATCATGTAGATAAGATTGCTAACTTGTGAAACAACCAATAATTCATATAGTAAACATAATAATCCAGTATATTTACCAAATTCAATAAAATCGCCAAGATCTTTTCGTTCTGTTATACCTTTCACCATTGCAAATATCTATAAAATAGAAATTGAAATATATGTGTGATGGAAAATGAAACAAAAAATCGATCAATAAAATACATTTGTTGTACTTATGTATAAACAAATGAAATGATTCATATTTTATACGCTCAAGTAGTAAATGTTACATTTCCGATCAATAATTGATCATCATTGATCAATTCATTTTTATTTAATTTTTTTTTTAATTTTAATTTTTTTTTTTAACAATTATAGTTTATTAATTAAACAATAATACTAATTAAATAAATTACATTGAATATGTGAAACAAAACAAAGGTAGAATGAAAAAAGATAAATAAACAATATAGTTTACTGATTAAACGCGATAATACTAATTAAATAAATTACATTAAATGTAAGAAACAAACATAGGTAGAATGAAAAACGATAAGTAAATATAAACAAAAGGAAAAGTTGCGAAGTAAATAAAACAAATAAATGTAAGTATGAGTATAGTTATCTATACTATAAATAAATGGAATAAAAACATTAAAGAATAAACAAATAGATAAAATAAATAAATAAACAAATTATTATAAATAAATTATGTAAATAAGCTTATTATAAATAAGTTATAAATAAGTTTACTTGCACTTATTATAAATAAGTTTACTTGCCTAATAACTTATTATAAATAAATTTATTATAAATAAATAATGTAAATAAACAGGTAAGTTGAACGAGTAAATAAAATTTAAATTGATAAAAAGAAAGATATCCAATTAAAATAAACATATAAATTATAATAAACTAAAAAATAATATTTCCTAAAATATAAATAAATATTATTAGCTTTTCACTCCATTACGTGCAGATGTGAATTTCAAATAAAATTCAGGTAAGATATTATTTATAAAAATAAGGTCAAAATATTCAACAAGTTAGAGAGAAATGAATATCAAAGAAGAATCAGAAGAATGAATAATAGATAAGAGATAGCAATTGTAATCACTAATTTGTTGAAACTGTGAACAAGTTAATATATAAATAGGATAAAATAGTTAGAGACAGAGAGGAATTGCATTATGATAATGTCTTTCTCTCCCCTCTCTTCACTATTTTTAAAAATATTTCATATTTAATTTTACACTACTACTACTACTACTACTACTACTAACCATTCCTTTTTCATTATATAAAATATCGAATGGCTACTACTACACTATTATTAAAACCGCAGAAAATATATTTTCTCAATCAATCTTTTCTGTCCTAATTTTGTTATCGTTTAAATTAATAAATAATAATTGTCAATAAATGGCCTATTATTCAATAAATAGCCTATTACTCAATAAATGGCCTATTACTCAGTAAATGGCTATTTTGAACATCATAATTAGAGAAATATTAAAAACTATTCTGATGTAGCTGGTTTGAAAAACACTTTGATATTTTTAATAGAAAAAGAGAGGGTGAGAGAGAGAGAGAGGAAGAATAAAGAGAAGAGTAGAATAGAAAAGATAGAATAGAAAAGAAAAAAATTGAGAAAAGAATAAAAGAAATGGCTAGTTATATTACATCATCAGATCGATGATGAAATATAGTACATCATCAGGTCGATGATGAAATATGGTTATAGTACATCGATCAGATCGATGATGGATATCTAATAGTAATAATCTGAGGGAAGTTATGGATGGAATTGTCTGGGAATAGAATATAAAAAGTAAAAGTGAGTAGGTTTAGAAGTTAGCTAATTGATTTTATAATCCGTGAAGTTTGACCAAATAACATGATAATAAAATTGATTCATTTATCGCGTTGATATGATTCATAGCTAATCCTATTGAATAAGAAATGTATATCTCACTTGTAGAATTCGTCTAATCGGAAATAGGCTACAAATGAAATTCTTAAATTAATAATAATAACGTGTAATAGTAATGGCAACATGCATTAATATTGTTAACATGCAATAATAATGGCAACGTGCATTAATATTGTTAATGTGCAATAATAATGACAACGTGCGTTAATATTGTTAACGTGTAATAATAATGGCAACATGCATTAATATTGTTAACATGCAATAATAATGGCAACGTGCATTAATATTGTTAATGTGCAATAATAATGACAACGTGCGTTAATATTGTTAACGTGCAATAATAATGGCAACATGCAATGGTATAAAATGATAATTAATGAATTTTTTAACTTTCTCAGTATAAATTTAAAAACAAAAAGAAGAAAGGAAAGGATAAATTTTCATAGATAAATAAGCGAAAATATTTTTTGCATGTAATTTTATGAAATATGTAAACTTTATGAGAAATTTTTCATTATTTGGAAATGAGTTATAAATTTGTTGAAATTAAGAAATGAATTGAATCAATGATATAAGAAGATATAAGCTGTGGAATTGGAAGAAGTACGACGAGTGTTGAAAATGTGTTATAGTTAGCGAAATCTTAGCAAATTATTCAGAAATATTTCACTCCTGATCATTTCACCTTTGACCTTGCTTTATTTGTTCATTAACATCGATCATTAGAAATAATTCCATCATTCTTCTCATTTGATAATTACATTTAATATTAATTTCGCATTGATTATATGGTTGTGTTTGAAAAAATTCAAATACGATATTGATATTAACATTCAACAATAAAAAGTGGAAAAAGTTAAACTAGATGAATAATAAAGGTAATTATATCAATACAATGATGTATAATATAATATAGCAATGCAGAAAATAAATGGGAAATGATAATATATCAGGAAAAGATCAACTATGATTGTAGCAGCAAAATGATTTATTCCAATATGTAATGCTATTTTTAGGATTACATATCGTCATAAATGAAAAAATGAGAATTTTCGAGTTATCAATGATAATAATATATCATTGATAATAATGTAAACTTTTTTATCATAAATGAGAATTTTCGGGTTATCAGTGATAATAATAATTTCTTTTAGCGGATGTTCTTATCATTATAGTCTATCATGCGTATAACTTAGATAATTTCATATAATCAGGTCATAAAAATCGAAATGAATAAGGTATCGTTTTGATAAAAGAATAAAGAAATGATATTTGTCAAAAATATTTTGAAAGCAAAAATTATTATTACTAAATTAAACTTGGAGTAAATTGATAAGATATTGAATGATAGAAATGATATGAAAGTATTCTATTATGTTCAGTGATACTTCTTTCATCTTTTTCTTCCTTAATAATATTTTCTAAATCGAAATTATAATAATTTTAAAGTAAATAAGAAATTAGAATTTAAAAACTAACGATTATAAATTAAGAATTTAGTTCTTAAATTGCTTCAGAATCTCCCTTAGTTTTGCTGATCATAATTAAAAATAGATGCAAATCGCATTAATTAAATTTTAACATAAATTGATTCCATTTAAATTTTTAAACATACGAGATAATTCGCAATAGAATTATTGGATTATTGATGTGTATCGTTTGTTTGATAAATAAACATATAGAGAGACAGGAATCAAAAGTAATGAAATTCGAATTGCCCTAAAAATTATTTAATCTAATCAATAATTTGTATCTTTTAATATTAGATATTTGATTTTCCTTTTATTTTTTATATTGTTCACAAATTAATGATGAAATTAAAATAAAAGATCATTCCCTTCTTTTTCTCAAATTACTTCCCGTATTTCTTATCCACTGATAAGCAATTCAGGTGTTATTAATTATCATTTCTATTAATCGTAAGCAACATTAAGAGAAAGGTATGTATGACACATTGTTACATACAATAATGATTTTCCGTTTCTCTGATGGAAAAAGTCAAATTTCAACATTTGATTGAAATTGTTTTAAAAATTAAAACGATTTAGTTAATCATCAATTTTGTTATTTTTAATTTGTATAGAAATTTTCTGCAACGAAAATTAAAAATGTTAAATCGAAGCTTTTCTTAGCTTTTCTTTTGAAACTTTTTAAAATTCCTTCTTTATTTTATTGTTTTATTATTCGTAATTATCAATGAAAAGAATTGATGATCGAAGAAGTCCAATTAATTGGAAATATTATTTTACAACTAAATGAAATTAAATTTTTTATATTTTCTATTTTCAAATTATATTTTATATTTATATTTTATATTTTATATTTTATTTTATTTATTTTTATTTTTTAAAATTTTAATTTTATATTTTTTTATTTTATATTTTGTTATATTTATAATTATATTTTCAAATTATTATTTTTATATTTTATTAGATTTATAATTATACTTTCAAATAATATTTGTCAATTGTTCCTCGAATAGCTTCAAATAATATTTTAAGTTAAGCGTTGGATTAATACTTTGAGTTATTTATTATATAATTTAAATTTTTGAATCAATCGTCTTCTAAAGGGTAGCTCATTTTCCCGACTTCACTTTATAACGGTGAAAGTATAGTCTGAGTTATTTATTATATGATTTAAATATTTGAATGGAATTAATTGCCTTCTAAAGGCGGTTCTTTTTCCCAATTTTACTTTATAATAGTAAAAGTAATCCAAACGTTTTATTATTCCATCGATAACATTTCTCATCCAATTTCAATCTATTTTTTTAAAACAAAATTAATTAATCAATCTTTTGTTTTTCATTTCTTTTAAGGTATTAAAAATTTTTTGAATGAAAAATGATAATGACTTTCTTCATTATGTAAATTTAATATTAGTCTAAAATTTCAGTTCAATTTTAGGATAAAAAAAATCTATTAAAATGAAGACGAAAAAATACAACGATAATACAACAACGAAATGTAATATCTGAGGAAGTTCTTTTTCGTTGAAATTTTCCTTACTAATTAAAGGTTTAATATTTGGATATTTTGTAAAGAATTTCTATTTGAAATTTATAACGAAAAAATTTTTCGATTTCCTTATTAAAAGGAAAATTAAAAAAGTGTGTAATTTACTCATTCATTAATTAAGCTGTTTGGTAAAGTTTTAGCTGTCACTTATTTAATTGAATTATTACAAAAAATAAAAGTAATTCATTTTAAAG